ATTTAAAACTCATTTCCGGGCCAGAAAATGTATAGACGAACGCATTGTGGAATGGAAAGGTCGTTTATGTTTAAACAATTTATTCCTTCGAAACGCCATAGATTTGGTATAAAATTGTTTGTTTTATGTGACTGCGAATCTGGAACCATTTAGATTTTGGTGTATACTGAGCTCAATCTCAAATAGACTAACTGAATCTTGAGAATGTCGGTTCTGTAGTATCTACTTAATAAGCCATATTTTCATAAGGCCATATTATATACTTGATAATTGGTAACGTCACCACTTTTTAAATATTTATCACGAAAAACAGAGTGCGGAACAGTGAAAATAATAGAAGGAATAAGCTGTATGGAAATTAAAGTGGGAGAATGTGTTATGGATTTCAAAAGTCTAAGCTTTAGCTCTAAAATGGAAAGTATCAAGAGGGACTGTTATGTTGTCAAGCATACCTAGCCAAAATGAAAATAATAAACACTAGAAAACTACATCAAAACCTAACAGCATACTAGATTAATAATACATGAGGTTTAGTAGATAAGTGATAATGTGATGAGCTTTAATGGAACTGTGGAAATCGTTAAATGGTATAAAAGTTTTTCCATTTATTAGATATGACTTTTAAACTAAATCCATAATATTTAGCGGTTTAAAAGAAAATGTAAATTACAGATTTCGAATGAAACTAATTCAACAAATCCTCGAAAATCATGGTACACCGAAAACAGCTAGAGCACAAAATGTATCGTTAAATAATCCACTAAGATTATCTGTTGCCATTTCCCACACTTATTGAATCGGCAGGTAAAAACAAGTCAGAAAATGTCATGTTCATAGTAATACCATGTTAGCACAAGAAGTCGGAAAGATACCAGATATGAGTGTAAGGATTGTGGTAAAGCTCTGTGTCTCGATCCATGTTTCAAAGACTACCACTGTAAAAAGTATTAATGTTTATATTATTTTTATTATTTTTATTATTTTGTCATAATTATATTATGTCAAAATCGTTATTTATTTTAATTTAAAGTATATTTAATATGTTTTTAAATTAACAAGGTAAGGTACCTCTTTTACAATATTTTGTTTTTTTTTTTTTAAAGAAATTTTGTTGTGATATTACACTAATAAAATATTTTATAATCTAATATTGTTATGATTTGAAGCTATATATATATATATATATTTAAATTTGTTAGTTTTATTTAAATAAAATTAACATATTTATTATTAAAGATCATCATTTATTTTAATTTGAGCTATATTTGTAAAAATTAAAAACTATAAGGATTGAAATTAAAAGACGTATTTATACGTCTTTGCTAAAACTCGCGAGTGAAAAATAGGACGTACATATACGTCTTCGCTCATAATTTGTTTTCCTAATTTCTCATTCCTAAGCTGCTCCCTGGATTGCATTTACGTATACCAAGGCTGCTCCTCAAAGGGTTAATCTAATTTATTATATCTTAGTCTGTGGTCAATTCATAACGTCCATTAACTCCACTGGAATTCTTGTAACTTTGCAACTTCGACTTTGACATAACACCCCGAAACGTTTCGGATTTCTTTTCAAATTACAATATATTTTATCTTCTTCGCACAACTGTTACGCAAAGGAAACGAGATGAAGATTACCTACGGAGTATTGTTTGTCATTTTATGCATCCATCTCGGTGAGTACCTCTAAACAATTATATTAAAATTAAATTAATCATAAAAAAAAATACTACATGGTTATTTGTTTGGGTGTTAATAATTTCTTGCTGTATGACGACACATTGGTGTATACATACTTACTGTATAGGTTTGCAGCAGGATCTATTTTCATTAAGGGGAGGAGATCAAAATATTAAAAATCTAACCACTAATGTATATATATTTGCGGTTGATAACAGAAAATATTTCTTAATATATGTTTATTATTTTATTGTTAATACGGTAGCATATTATATGATATGATATAAGAATTATATAATTTAATTAATAAAATTAAACTACAATATAAATTCATTATATTTATACATTTTAATATTGAAACAAAAAAGAAAACTTATGTACTTTATACCTGAAGTTATATTCAAAATTAACAATACATACATAAGTATAAAAAATTAAATTAAAAAAACGTCATAAAGGAAATTAATATTTAGAAAATATTTTAAGAAAGTTGTTACCTATAAGATAACTAAAAACTTCAAATTTAAATTGTTTAGGTGTTAATTTACTTTGTGAAGTTTTGAAACAAATTCCTTGACAATTAACTTTAATTTAACTTTTGCTGCTATAGACTGCCACCACTGATAGGTTAGTATATTTTACGAGCAGCATTAAAACTTATAAAACTATTGATTTCCGAGAGGTGGATAAATAATGATCACGAATTTCGAAAGTAACAATATAACAAGAAAAAATTATATACATTGTGTTATTTTAAGTATATGTTTTTTATACATACCTTCTTAGTTGTAGCACTTAAGTGGTAAAAATGTCGCTCCTCCCAATGATTACAAATAGATTATTAATTATTATGGGAACTAATGAAATTAAGAAAATATAATGTGGAATGAGTCGTTAGAAAAATTGTTTAACAAAATACCTGATTTCAATCCAATTTTTTAAATTAAAAAAAAAAAAACTATAATATTTATTAAGTTGGTATAATAAGTCGCGTTGGTCGATTGGAATGTGTGCCTACAATGAAAAGGTAGTAAGAACAGTTAGTAATTACTAATTAGCGCTCGGAATTTTTCTATCTCCATTATAGGTATAGTAATTTCCGCCCATAGTATCCAAGAGGCCTTGAATTAATTGTCATTGATTTTGTACGCCGTTGTACATTATACTGGTGTATAAACTAATGTATTATCGTTTGTAATCAATAAAAGGTTAATTATATTAATGTGATAGGTAAAACGAAATAATTGTTCGAACATTACATTACATTAATCAAGCTCAATGTGTTGAATTGATACTATATCAAAGTAGTATTGAAAAACTATTTATGTTGAATAAAAATGAAAATTGACTTTTATATTTTAAATAGCTTCTTATTTAATCGAATTCGTTTAGTTCAAGTCAAAAATATTTTCGGAGGATAGTGGTAGTCGCTTCCTCAAAGGATCTTTGGATAACGCTAAATTAACATTGAAATATATATATATATTTACCAACGTCATTTTAGCTATGAATTCCGTGGTTCTCAATATGAATATGTACACAAACCATAATAGGTACTTAAAAATATATGTAGGTACTACAATACGATAGTATCTTTTTCCTACCAGACATACTAAGTTACGATAAATCGAGTGATTTAGCTATGATGTTATAACAAATATTAATACTATTAAGTACTTATACTAAAATATATTATAAATTCTGATGTTGAAAATCAAATTTTAAATTGTCATACATTTATTTCAATTTCAGCCCATTCTCAGAATATACAAACAACCGTAAAAGATGTTGGTGGAGCTGTTGAAATGAAATGTTCAGTTTTCAATGCTAGCGGAGTTCCTGTCGCATGGATAAAATTTGATAAAAAAGAGCCCACTAAAACCTCTGTACTATCGATCGGAAAAAAACTTATTGTTCGAAATCCAAGATTTTCAGTAGAAGTTGGAGTCGGAAATAGTAGTTATACATAAAAGGTATGTAATTTCAAAAATGTTGTTAAAAACCTTATCAAAACTTTTTTTTCAAACTCCATATAGCCATACTTAATTTTTTTTAACGAAATCGTTATAAATTTATTTTTCAGATTCAGAACATACGTGACACAGATGTAGTATTCTATCGTTGTGTTGTGATGTGTGATGTCGACGACGGTATCAATACGTCTGCAGATATTAAGTTGGAAGTGAATCGGTCTCCAAGCATTTTAAAACTTTCTTCGTCTCCGGCCACATTAATCGCGAGAGAAGGTCGACCGTCGAAACTAGAATGTTATGCCGACAGATACCCTGAACCAAAGGTTACATGGAGCCGACAATTTAATGGCATTTTAACGACAGGAGGAAAGTTTTATAGGTATCAGCAGAGAAAAATAAGCAAAATAAAATTTTATAATTGGATGTACAGATTAATTATGTTCATAAATAAATACAACTTTTTTTTCAGAGATAATGTCTAACTCTTTCCTAATTTAACAAAAGATGACCACGGAACTTATTTCTATGATGCGGTGAATAGTGATGGCAAAGGTGTGCGGCACATGGTTGACTTCCGTATAGCATTTGCCCCAGTGATAACAGTTTCGAATATTATGTATACTCATAGAGAACTTTCAAAACCAAACATGGATGTCCAACTAAGGATAGTTTACTAAATTATCCTTTTTATTTATTAGTGGTAAAAATTGTACTCTATTACCTATTGTGTCCACTTTAAATACAACAGTAAGTATATATTATATTGTTGTACCTATCACCAATTATCTTTTTGTGGTTATTTTATAAAAATAAATACTCAAATTCTAAAAGTCTATATACCTACCTTACTTATTAGAATTTAAAAATTGTACACATAATTTAATTAGGTATACATTTTTTATTATAATCCTGGACCCTGGTTGCTTATAACCATCCCTTAATAATATATATCGGCATACTGATACTTGAATAAATATATTTATTACCTTTATTAAATAGGTATTTTGTGATCATAAATGATATTACAAAGAATACACCAATAGTAAAATAAGAGTAAAAAAAACCTTCTTACTACTAGCGCTATACGCTTGTGGTGAAAATATGAACTACTGAACTATAACAGTATAACACAATATGACAGAAGAGTCGGTAATAGCTCATCTGTATGATCTTTAACTGTGGATTTGTGCAGTATGCACATCACCTTCATCTATGTTGTAGTTCTCTATTTCTGATTTGTTGATTCTGTGATTTTATTGTTCCTACGTTATCGTTAGATATTATTATCAAATTTTAATTTTTGTGTTCACGAGAATTATTATGAAATAATTATGAATTATAACTAATAAAAATTGTACATTATATATATCCAGCGACGTATTGAGCGGCATGCTTTTTTACTCAGGAAAACGAATCTTCGACATTAACCAAAGAAGAAAAAAATATTATATTGTTTCATACTAGATCAGCTTTCAGATGTACCTACTATCAAGGTGTTAAAAATAAATATTTTCATTCAGCTAAATTAATATGTGAGAGCAAATATGTAAATTCTTACAGACACTACAAAGTGTTATAATAAATCCCAGACCAAACTAAATAAATTTTTATAAAAATCAAATGTCAATTTATGTTATAAATGCACACTGTAGCAAATCTGTAACACGCTTTAAATCTACGATAAAAACAAAAATAAAATATATATATGATTGGAGAATGCATGTTTTACAAATACATACCTTACTAAATATCCTGTTATTTTTAACTCGTGTTTAACAGCCAAAAAAACGATAAATATGTTTTATAATTGAGCATGTCACACTTAATTTAATACGTGTATCATACACGACTAGCATTTGTGATAGGATTTCCCTCCAATCAGATTACAAAATATAAGAATTGATTATGCAAATGATAATATAATAGTTGAAAACCGTTCGATAGAAAGCACGTACAATTAATAAAAATACCACATTGTGTATTAAAATATGAATTTATATTGTGTTGCGAAATTGCTAGTGTGCATTTAAGGTTTAATATCAGTTTTCGGTGCTGGCTTTAAACAAAAATTAATTTTTAGTTCATGTTTTTAATTATTTAACAGTTAATAACTTAGATTTTATAATCAACTGATTTAATTGTAGATACTAACTGAAAGAAATTATTTCTTGATGTGATTATTGTATTTTGTTTTGGTTTTATAACATTTGACAATTAACCACTTGTTTTTAATGATGGCATGCATTTGTAATATTTTACATATAATTTACCTCGTGGTGCATTTGTTGCGTCATAACGCATAAAATATGTATCTTAAAATTACATATTAAAAATATATTAACAAGTTGTAGTGATTAACTGTAAAGATTAATAAAATATTAACTGTGATGAATGAACAATTTCTTAAAATCATCTTTCAATTAATACCTACATATTATTGAATAAATACAAAATTTTAAAATAATAGTTTCTTAATGATTGCTTCAAGATCATATAAAGGCATATTAGTAGAGCTATTAATTGTAACACAAACTTTCAATATATAGATATTTTTATTTCTGATGAAAATATTTAGAAAATTTGATGGCTACACTATCTATCAGCCAATTTAATGGCCATCGAGGTTATAGAAGAAATAATATAATGTATTATAATATCTACTAATTTGCATCTAATTGAGTTATTTAGTTTTTTTTTTACTTTTAAAATAATCAAGAACAAATTTTCAATTAGAAGAATCAATTAGTATATTGAATACTTAAATATTATTGATTCAATAGTTAAAGTTTTAACTTGTTGATCTTTTTCAGATAATTATTGTAGTTGGGTCTGTCTGTAATTGTAATTGTTATCATGTAATCAATTCTTTTTCAAATTTTAATTGCACACCTAAGTAACATTTTTTTAGCAATCTTCCTAAGTGCTTTGATTTCATAAACTTATTATTTCACAATCAGTATATTAATAAATATGCATTGTACATACGACGAGTATTTATAGATGATTTTTATTCTGAGATCTGATATCTGATAATCTGACCACAGTGCTTGAAAATCAAATCGTTTCTGATATGAGTACTAGAATATGCTGTAAATATGAGCGGTGAGTGTAAATCTTTATGAAGTTATGTAAAAACTAAAAACAATTTAGCTGTCTATATACCATGTACTGCTCACTCATTACATTTTGTTGGTGGGCATAGTGTAAATTGTTACATAAAAGCAATGAGTTTTTTTTAAATTTAATCAAAAGTTATAAATTGTTTAGTAGTTCTAAACATCATTAGAAAATTTTAACTGAAAAATTATAAAAAAATCAACTAAGTATACTAAAGTCATTAAGTACTAGTCACTTTGATGCTTCCTAAATATTTGTTTCAATTGTTATTCAATTATACTCCAGTGTTGGTCAATTTTAGAAATCCTTAAATTTCTTTTGTAATGTAATAATTTAAAGTAGGTACCCATACACGAGAAAAAGACTTTGACGACATAGTTCAATGTGAGGTTTTAAACTATAAAAATTACTAAGTGATTTAAAAAATTAAAAGTTTACTATTACTATAAATAGGTATCTAATGTAAAATTAAATGAAAATTAAGTTATTCCAGTAATCTCTAAACATTAAAAAAAAATAGGCATGTAAAAAACAATATAAACATAATTTACTAATTAAATTTTAATCTCGCTAGAGAAAGTTAATAAACTTTCTAAGTGTATATCCACTAAAAAATAAATAAAATATTGATTTTGTTTATACAAAACACGTTTTAATCTTAAATTAAAAAAAAAAAAACTATACGAAGGATAATATATACACTTTAAAAATACTGATTTGCTAAAGATACTTAAAAAATAAAACTAATTAGTCTTAAAATAATCTTTTGATTTGTTCCCACAGGCCAATTGGTTTTATAGAACCCGTCGTATTATTATGCACACGATTGGCAAGAATTAGGGCAAAAGGATTACTGCCTGCCAAAACTATAACATCACTTTTGGACGACGATTTAACATTTGATACTGAGCGTCTGCGTTTTATTTGCATATTGTCAATCTCAATCGGCTGACGTAATCCATTTCTATCCTCGGAAAGTGAGGCCGTATTTGTGCTATTATTGTTACCATTTGAAGCTGACTGTAAACTATAGGACATGATTGTACGACGTCCGCCATTTCCGCCACTGTTGTAAGGTAGGGCATTTCGTTGTACTCTTTTTATAGACCGAAAAATAAATAAAAATTGATTAGATAAATGATAAAAACTACAGTGCATTCAATGAATTTTTTTTAGTATCAATTATAGTTATACCGATTATATATCTACCACATACGATGTTAGTTCAAAACCCATATTATTTAAAAAGCGGTTATATTAAAAATATCTACATTTATTTTCAAATGAACAGTACCTAATCATGAGCATTTTATTGTAGGGTGGAGAAGTCCTACTTTATAAGTCGTCTTTTTACTAGCTTTCATGTCAACTATACGGGGTATACTATTTTGTTCTACACATGTAGATGTCTGTGATTGATTATCTCAACAATATTTATAACTTTATATAATAGTTTAGGTAAAAACAGTAAAAAATAATACAAAAAATTTTTTAATGCTTAATATTACAGAGAGAATGTATAAAATATTTTTAAATGGGAATATTAGTTGGGAATAACTTTTTTTTTGCCTTTAAAATAAAATTTTATTGGAATAATAAAATTTATAAAAAATTTGTACCTATTATTATATTTTTATGTTTTTACAGTTTTGAAATTAAATAAATATTTTTCTTTTTACATCTTTATATTAATATGGCATTGTATTAACGTGTATATAGACACTTTGATTTCAGGCTTCTAAAATTAATTATTAAATACCTATCACTATTATTGCTTAATTGGAAGTTTCCATTCAACACACCCTAATAAAGATAAATAATGGAAAAGTATGAAAAAATAATATTATTAAATTATCATTTCTAAGATTCTATAATTTTTTTAAAAATTATATTAACAATATGAAAGAAATAGTATAATGCGTCGACATTAATCTATATATCTGGTAAAATAATAATTATTATATTCTAATATTACAAATATGTAATTATCTTCTATGTTATGAAATAAAAATGCTCAAATAATATATTTCATTATATATGGTATGTTAAGTTTGAATATTACTCAGTGGTAAATTTAATAAGCTCTCTCCCATCAAATAACATTATTGTTAGACAAGCAACTGTCATATATGTTCAATAAATTTTACAATACTATATTTATAATTAAATTATATAAGTGATAAAGCGTTTTCGCAACAAGACTAACCTCTTACTGCTTATTTGAATCGGTGAACTCTGGGTGGAAGATTTCACAAATGGGACCCAAAATATTGGTCGTTTTACAAAATATGGAAGGATGTTGTCCCATCTCTGGTACTGCTTGGCAACTGATGTTAATGACTCAGTGGTTGTCATTTC